AGCCATAATGTTTTGGTCTGTTCGTGCCTGTTACTTATGAGGGGCGGAGCCTTAGGTGTTCACCAGGGTGGGGCGACCCAGTTGCTAGGTTGTGATGCTGTATGTGGGGGCGGGGTCAGAGAGGGGCAGTGGCATTTGTTATGCTCTCTCTCGGATTTTGGTCCCCTCTGCTGCTTCCCACAAGCAATCCGGGCCCCCCTGGTGCTGGCTCCTGGGTGTGTGGGCCTGTGCATCCCCCAGGACCCTGTGGGTCTCTCCAACTATCTCTAAGTCTTGGAGCTTCTCCCTGCACCTTGACCCCAAGAGTTTTTCTATTTGGTGCTTTTAGACTTTAATTCCTGCTGCTGGGGCCCTAGCCTGCATGGTCTGTCTCACTGCTTGCTCCTTCGCCTGGTTTATCTGCGCATGGCTGTGTGACCGTGGTCAGCCAGCCACCTTGCGCCCTCACTGGGTCTGCCTGTTGCCACCTCACGTCTGGGATCTGCCAACCGCTGCCTGGGTCAGTAGGTCCGGCTGCTTTTTCTTGTGTGACCCCACTCTGCCGCTGGCTCCGCCCCTCTTACCGGTCTGGATGACTGGTTCCTTGTTGTCGGACTTTCATACAGTTCAATTTTCCATGTTCTGGTTGCATTTTTGTTACTAAAACTTTGTTGTCTTTAAACTTGGTTGTGCAAACAGGCACAATGTTTCCACCTACGTCTCCATCTTGGCCGGAAGTCTGGTGCCATTTTCCGAATATAAAAATATGCTTGTTGTAGAACTTCAAATACAGGAATGTATATAACCACTGTCTCTCTTAATAGTTTGGGGCATATTCTTCCACATGCTTTCCTAGGTATGTATTTTTTGTCTCTCTTGGTGTGCCTGTGTGTTAGTAATATTTGCATACATGTGAATGTGTAATTTTAATATATTTACAATGTATATATTACATGTATACACATAGGTATATGTATATGCACAGATATACTTTTTACTTAATTACGAAGTTCAGGTCTCTGGGAGAGCAGGCCAGGCCTGAAAGGGCCTGAGAGCAAGGGAAGACTGGCTGGGGCTTTGACTGTGGTTAGTTGGAGCTGGGGTTCCCATGCAAGGACAGGGGCTTGTGTGATTTAAGTCTCCCGCCAGAGCCAAAGGAAGTAGCACTTGGGATTTTTTATAAGTTGTCCAGAGGTTGGGGACCAAGGGGAAGAGGGCAGGGTGAGGCCTAAAGGCTGGCAGCAGCCATCTGATGGAACCAGACTCCTGTTCACACTGTGTATCCACATCTGTGTGTATGTAGCGGGTCTGTGACACATACACTCACCCACACACACCGGCATACGTACATTCACATCTACATGCTGCGACTGCCTTTTCTCATTAACCTTTGCATGTCAGTGCGTGTAGGCCAGCCTCATGCTTTCAAGTAGGTGCACAGATCTCCAATGTGTGGGTGCATCAGTCAAAACCTTATGAGTAAGTTGCTCCTATGTCGTTTCTCTGTGGTTTTGTAATGGGACGCTGAACACTGTGCACACCACCCCTTTGTACACACGTGCAGCTGTATTAGTCATTTGACTAAGCAATCAAGTAACACAGGGAGAGGAGAGTGTGCTGAGGGTGGTCTGCTACCCCGGGTGGCTAGGGCGGGTCTCCACACTATGGCAGACATGTGAGAGTGACTTGGATGTTGGTGGGAGAAGCCAAACTTGGTAGAAAGACTACTAATTTTTGGGTCAAAGGGCGAGCATACTTTAAGTTATGATGCATTCTGTCAAATTGTCTTTATTTTTGAAAATTCATACACTCCCCGACATAACACTAATTCATTCTTAAACAAGCATCCCTGTTGCCTTCCATCATCACCAAAAAGGATAGTGATCTTCTTTTAAAACTCCTTTGCTTTGGTGCAAAATATATGACACCATCTTAACTTGTAATTTGCTCACTTTCACCTAGGCTGAGCATCTTTAATTACCCATTTGGGGGATTTTTACTTTTTCTACAGGCCATTAGTCATTTATTACTATAATATAGATATTTGTGGTGTGCTTTTGAATTTTACCATTTTTTTTGTATACAAAACTTAAACATTTTTTGTAGCCAATTTACCAATTATTTTCATTCAAGTTCATGTTTTGTGTCACCCACAGTGGCCTTCACCACTTGTTTATCCATCGTTCTAAAACACTACGAGTTCAAAGGCTTTCAGTGTTTCATCTACTCGATGCTTAAGGCCTGAGAGGTAAGGCACCAGCCTTCAAAAGCAACAAAACAATGACCCTCTGGTTGTCCCCAGGCCATCGGTCTTACTTTTGGCTCCTCTCAATTGATCTACTGCCCCTATTATAATAGAGCAAATGTCCAGATCCTCGCATCTGTCCTGGCACCAGTCACACTGCTGGTGACTGAAATGTGGGTGACTCTTAGGCTAACAACCCTCCTCAGACTCTCCGCCCCCACGTTTTCAGAAGTTTCCTGATTTAATTATTTCAAATTAACTTTAAATAGAAGGAAATTCCAAAATTGATTTTAAAAATCTGAGATTTTGAGAATCCATTAAAATTATATATGACTTTAATAGGGATTATGCTATGAAATAAAAATAGTGCATTTTCCCATCTCAGAACTAAATAGACATTCAATTTTTCTTATCTCTTAGAACTTTCTCCTTACAGTTTATTCCTAAGTATTTTACTTTTGTTCTCATTAGCTGTGTCCCACAAATTCGAGTTCTATTTCTAGTACATTGAATGTATTTTTGAGACTTCCTTGACCCACAGTTTAGGTTTTTCTAGAGATTTTGCTGTTATCTTCATTATTTATAGCTTGATACCATTTTAGTCAGAGGACCCATTCTATAATTCTAAAGGATTCCTTAAAATCTGTTGAGGTTCAGTTTATTGCCTGGAATATGGTCTATTTTGCCCAGTGTTCTGCAAGGGGGGAGGAGACTGGGTCCTGCTGCTGTGTGGTGTCACGTTACTCAATTCTGGTGGCTGGTGGTGTGGTAGTTTGTACCTAGTTCTATCAATTGCCAAGAGAGGAGTACTTAAGTCTCCACTGTATGTAGATTTGTCTATTTCTCAGTTTTTACTCAAGGCATTTTGAGGCTCTTTTGCTCGGAGTATAAACCTTTCCTATTGTCTTGTTGGACTGAAACTTTTTAGGTAACGTCTCCTTTGTCCCTGCTGTGGGCTGACTTTTGGAAGTAGAGATTATCAGAGCTTTCTTTATGGCACAGTGTATCTGAGGTGGGGCCTGGAAACCTGCGTTTTAACAAACTTCCCAGATTTTCGTAATCACGTTAGTTAGAAATCTTGCTTGCAAATGACAGAAATTGGCTTTGATTAACATAGAAAGGCATTTATTGAAAGAATATCCAGCAACACCCACTGGACTACTCAAGTCCTTCTGGGAAGCAGAGCCCCGGCCCGCCCACCCTCGCCCCCCTGGGGAGCCAAGGAGATGAAGCACTTGTTCTCCCTAGTCCTGGCTGGGTGAGCTGCTTTCGGAGCTGAGCTCAGCTGTCGGGGGTTCCCCACCACCTAGGACACTGAACTTGGTGTAGAGGATATGAGATGGGGATGAACTTGGTGTAGAGGATATGAGATGGGGATAGTTTAAAACTCCTTTTTGTTGGTGGCGAGAATTTTGATGTCCAATGATGAAAGGGGCAGCAAAGGTCTAGGCCTGCCTAAACATGGCGTGATCTGGTTCCATCCAGGCAGCCAGGTCTCTTGCTTTCTACACCTTTTCTGAGCCCGGTTCCCCGGCCTTGTGCAATAGATGGATATATGCATACATACACACACACACGTTTCTAAAACTCCTGTTTGGGGAAAGTTGTGTATACTTTGCTTTGGGAAATAAAATCAGAAATGGTACCTAATACTCACTAGGTTAACCACAAAACAGTTAATGAGACTAATCTCATGGGTTCGACTGCACGCCAAATGGAATTACTTACTGTTCTGGAAGTCAGCAGCCTTTGGGCAGGATGGCTCGCAAACTGTCAAGTGTGTATGTGAGGGGGGACATGGTGGTGGTGACAGCACTGTGCTGTCGGGAATCTGTATGCGACTTTGGACCACTCAGCCCTGACTCTGTGCTCACCTGTTAAGTGAGGAGTTTGGACCAGAGTTTCTAGACCTCTCCAAATTGCAATGTTCTGTTGACTCCAGCTCATTTTTGTGAGATTAGCTGACAACTACCAGGTGCTTGGCTTTTTGCTAACTTGGGGCACAGTACTGCAGAAACTGACATGTGAGATGGAGCATCTGAACTTGCCATTATTAGGGCAAGAGCATCCAGACCAAAGGATGTGTAGTAGAGAATGGCAGAAATCCAGTCTTACTGTGGAAAAATGGTCACCAAATAGTTTTGATTGTCACAGAGGAAGTGAGGCATAATGAACACATTTTTTACAGAGAGACCTTGAGATTTGATCTCTAAAAAAACCTTTCTCCTGGTTCATCCTGTCAGAATGGAAGAGGGAAAATGCCCTGGCTGGGTAGCTCAGTTGATTAGAGTGTCACTCTGATACACTGAAGTTGCGGGTTCAGTCCCCAGTCAGGCACATACAAGCAACAACCAATGAATGCATAAGTAAGTGAAACAACAAATTTATGTTTTTCTCTCCTTTCTCCCCTCACCCCCCCAAAAAGTTGGCCTCTTTAAAAAGAAAGAATTGAAGAAGGAAAATGGATATTTGGCAGAGGGCACCCTGAATGAACGGGAGGGTTAAAGCAAGCTGAGTTGGTGTGGAAGAGGGGGTGGGACCCCGGTTTCCTCTGGAGATGCCCGAGGGGTGGATGCAGACAAATGGAGCTGCCAGTGCATGACAGTCCCAGCTTCTGGAGGACTCCCACAGAATGCCCACAACAGCGCAACTCAGAGAAGGGCTGTAAAGTGTCTTCACTTGTGTGCTTGGTGAATCCTTATTTCGCCTTTGATGTAAGGATCAGTTTGGAAGTACCTGGGGCACAATAAACTAATTCATTCTTTGCGACCTGCAGGTTCTTCTGAGCACTTCGTTGCTGGGGGCCCTGTGTCTTTTCTCGTCGGTCTGTGTTGTATGCGCCATTTCTGCATTTACTCTGCCCATCGAGACCAAAGGTCGGGCCTTACAGGTAAGTGGTGCAGGAATCCCTGAAGCACAATGAAAATGAACTTGGAGTACAGAAGTCCTGTTAAGCAGCCACGATGATACTACCATGTGCTAACACTGAGGTTGTGTGTGTTCCAATAGAAAAACTATGCGCCCCTTTTCCTGCACGGAACTCTGAGCAGCACTCACGTTAAAGTAACCAATTAACCACTTCCAACTTCTGCTTCCTGTTAAAAGTTATAGCTTGATCCAGGGACCACAGCGAAAGATCGTTGTTCAGGTCTTAGCAGTTTACCCTCCCCACCTGGATTTAAGCACTGCCGCAGAACTAGAGGTGGCCTGAGCAGCTGGAACAGCTCTTTGCGTTGCCCTTAGGGCGACAGGGTGTTTACACGGTGGTCCTGCCTTCCCCTGGCACCACCTGCCCACGGGAAGAGCTGAGTCAGAAGCTTCAGCTGCCCCAGTTGTTGCCACTCAAGACACCTGTTTACTCCGCTCCCACAGGCAAAGCTGTAGAAGACAGGGCCTTTCCCACCCCTCCCTGTGTCCTGACCAAAGACCAGGTGGCAGCACTGATGTTTTCCTGCCTTAAACACGAAGCTTGTGGCTGGAATGCAAGGACGAGTGTGCGCCAATGTGTACAAGCACAGGGAAAGGCAGAACAGCTGGGCTTAGGCTTGAGTTGCTGCCCTAAATGAGGCTGTTCAGTCATGATGCCTCTCCGCTGCCTGTGACCTGCCCCCCCCAGTCATCGTCCACCAGACATGTCAAGTGTTAGTGCTGGCACAGACGTGTTTTGCTTTGTTGTCTGTGTTAGGTGTAAGGAAGGCACTGCAAAAGAAAGAACACACACTCCTGATATGTTCTTCCTAGGTCCAAAATACGCTGCTCCACGTTTTACACTTGATCTTAGCCAAAAGGCCGAGAAGCGATATGCTGCTCCACTTTTTAAAAACCCTAGCTTATCTTTAAGGTAACAATAAGCATTTTAATCCAAGACTAGATAACCTGCCACATAATTCAGAATTTAGGGCTGTGTTTAGGTTCCATCATTGGAAAGGTAACCCATTCATTGAATGCCTGAAGCCACAGATTAAAGTCGATGATTCATGATTCCTTTTAATCTTATATAAAGGGAGTATCGCATCATTTACACAAATGAGGAAACTAAGGCAAAGGTGAGTTGAGTAACTTGTATAATGGAACACAGCAGTTTGCAGGAGGACTGGAATTTAACACAAATTGCAAAATCAAGTGAGGCTAAACCTGAGTATAAGTTTCCACGCTTATTAAGTAGTAACGCTGCCTGCAGTAGGAAGCCAGGCTCGCCACTTCTGTGCTCTATGGATTTCCAGCTGAAGTCACGTCCACTGAGAAAGGACCAGCCAGCCTCTCGTCTGGTCGTAATACCTCTGACGTGCCTGCTTCATAAACAGGACCGGGCACACAGAGCCACTGAGAACCTATGCGTATTTGGAAAAATCTTAAAAGGTGTAATCTTAGTCTTGTGAACACTTAACATATGAAACTAGTAATGTTTGAACATGCCAAAAAAATTTAACTCCCAACAATAGTTTGACTGGATAAATCAGTGTGGCTAATAGTTGAATAATTCTATTAATTTTGACAAGCCTGGTAAACTAAAAAACAAACTCTTGAAAGAGGATATTTATAATGTCATTTTTTTTCCTGAATGACTGCCTGTTCTGCACTAGAATAACTGAATTATAAAGCAACCATTGCTTCAGCAGGTACACAACAGTAAATTTTCCTAGTTTCTAAGTGCCAGACAGCTGAATATGAGTGGGGAGAAGGCTTTCTTTTTATTAAATGTACTGATCTATTAAATAACATCTTTTTCCAGCAAATGAAATGAAGACCTGCAAACCCATGTCTACCAGAGAAAACTGCATTCTATCTTCACCAAGAGCTGTGGTACATTCTTCAAAACCTGGTTTTACTTCTGTATGCTATTTGGCAACCAAGAAACTGATTATTAAAAAAAAAAAAAAGGCACACAAGAATAAGGTGGGTTAATTGCCTATTGATCTCTAAGAGCCAATATACACAGAACTGATATGGAATATACTTTAAAATTGGAAAGGTATGTGGGGGGGGGATGGTGGCTTTTATTCCTTGACATTATGTCTCTTCACCTTCAGTAGGTGAGTTAATTTTCACACCACACACACATACAGATGATATTCTCCCATAAGGTCCACAGCACAAGTTAGGCTGAGATTTTGTAGCCAAGACAAGAACTTGAGGTGGCGTCATTAAGGTTTTCAAAAGCAGCCATCACATTTACAATATAAATTAGCATATTTATTAAAATTGAGGCCCCCGTAGTTTAAAAATTGCTTATTTGTGAAACAATATGCTTAAATTAGTGTGAATCTTGAATTACCAAGAAGCAGGGAATGATCTAATGTTCCCCATACATTGTTTCTACTCTAATTTACAGGGGAATCTTTGAGTCACATGATGTGATACCAAAAATCAATGCAGCGAACTTGGCCCTGCTTGGGTAGCTTAGTTGGTTAGAGCGTTGTCCCAGTTTGCCAATACTGTGGGTTTGATCCCGGGTCAGAGCACATGCAAGAAACAACCCATGAATGCATACATAAGTGGAACAACAAATTGATTTCAGAAAGAGAAACATCAATTTTTTGAAAAGTGCAGCAAGCTTACCTACATCACATAATGTCTGTCTGCCCTCCGCTGACTGAGCGGCATGATCTCATACTTACGCACGCCTCACTCTACGAGGCTAGGCGCGCTGTGGAAAGGAAACACCTAAGTTTTTACATTTACATTGAGTCTTTTAGTTCTGTTCAGACTTACTGTGGAGACCTTGGAAGTTGGGGGCCCCAAGGCTTGGCTCACCTACTCCCCTCACCCCCATTTGGCACTGGAAACGATTTGCTGCAAACACCCTGAAGTATCCCGCACTAGACAACTGTGTGTGTGGTTTGCACCCTTGCTTCAGGGAGGGTGCAAACCATTCCTATTTGAACCTCTGGGACAAGTGGCTTTAAGTGAGGAAGCCTTTTCTCTGAAGGGCCAGGCAGTAAATACTTTAGGCTTTGTAAAACTACACAGATGTCACCTTTCCCCCTCCACAAGCCCTTAAAAATGTAAAACATCTTTTCAGCTGGCTAGAGGTTGAATTTTGTTGAAATTAAATTTCTAGGCTCGAGATAAAGGGTGCTCCTGCCTGGGGTGCCACATCAGCAAACCAAACGTGCTCTGCGTGACCACAAACACAGTGTAACTAGCCGCCCAGACACCCAGCCAACGCTGGGCTCTATGTTTACTTTCTTGTTCCTCATTCTTTAAAAGCTTCCTGCCCCCTGCTTCACTCCATTGGACCCTTAAGACTGTAGACTGCCTGCCTTAGCAAGTGTTAAATAAAGTTTATTTGAATCACTTCAGTTGTCTTTAATTATTTTAAACAGCTTTGGTGACAAGGATGGACACCGACTGCTAACGGCCTGCAAAATGAGACACGGGTGAGGAGCCCGCTGAACCCTTGAGTTCACTGTTCCTCCTGTCAAAACCAAGGGCTGTGGGTAAGTCACTCTTGGGCTTGAGCTCCACCCCTTGGCGTGCAGCTCTCCATTCTAAACACTTTATTTTAAAAAGTACTGCAGTTCCAGGACAGTTATATTGTGAGTCCGCAGTACGTGGTAGCTGTTAGTTAGGGAACTCAAAGCCGTGAGGTAAGTCCACAGCATAAACCAAACTGTGGGGAGATTTGGGGAAATAAATTAAGGAATCAAGATTGCTTTAACCAAAGGCAAAACAGAATCTAAGTAGGCATAAACCAGACAATTAAAAGCCCTCAGGGCGTCTGGAACTGTAAAGACATCTCAGGAAGGGAATAAGGGGTCTACTGCTAATAGGAATCTCAGAAGCCAAATCTGAGAAGTTGTTGGGCACGACTCAAACACCTGTAAGGCGTCAGAGCAATTGCCACCTCCATCTACAACTTTCACGCTAGGACAGGTCATCACGGAATAGATCAGATGCAAGTTAGTTCACCTGTCAACCTCAAGGAAAATTCCATGCCGATGAGTTGCGCTGTAAACCACTACGCAATCCCCAACCCAGGAGCATATCCCACGAAGCTTAGCTAAAGGAACGGGATCCTCAAGTTTCAAAGAATTGAGTGTTCTACTTTCCGGCTTATCTGCTTATTTTATGTCTCAGAACTGTGGTTCTAGAGGTAGTAGACAGCTAGAAAAATGGGCAACTCTTATTAAAACCACCTAAAATTACAAATGGCCATTATGAGGAATGTTCCAGCTAGACAAGAAGCACACCTGAAACCAAGGGCTCCCAAATCAACAACCAGAATGGAATGCCTATCGTAGCTAGTATGCAGATGACTTCCCCCTCTCAAATGCTTCAAAACTACAAAACAGCCTCATTGCAGCCTAGCTGAAAAGGACACAAGAACTTACAACCAGACTGATGCAACTCTTCCAGTTCCCCTCTGCCTTCCTCCACCAGAGCGCTCAGTCCACTAGTACTGTCTGAACCGCCTTTCTGCTCTGGAGAAGACCACTCGAGACCATGAACAGTCCCAAGTCAGCGGCCTTGCAAAAGCCCTGAGACCGTCATCGGGACACCAGAGAAAAGAATGTCCTTGAAGGTTCTGTCGAATCCTTCACCTCTCCTCTATCTACTCTCTAAGGAGGCCCTGCTATGGACTCGTCCAAGGTTGATGTGACCCCTTTAAACAGCCCAGGGGAGACTGAAAGGAAAACCTTGCCAAATTCTGGTTGATAACGGAGCTACACCTTCTGCTTTAAACCCCACTCACACTATGGAGCCTGCAAATTCTGGGCAAAATCAGCAGAATCTGGTGAAAAGTGGGAACTCTTACCCAAGTCAGCTCTGCTGGATCTCTGTAGTGCCTGGTCAAGAGAGGAAACACAAAACCTGAATGGATTTTTTTTTTTCTGAATGGATATTTTAAAAAGTTGTAGAATATTTGTGGAAAAGGGATTTTCTGTGTGGTCAAGCTGAGTAAGATTAAACTAGATTTAAGTTTTTAAAAAGTGAGTTTTAATATCAAAAGGATTCTGGTGCAAAATTAAAAATTTTCCCCCTGTTAAGAGGACAAAATTTTCTTATATTATTGGTCTGATCTTAAGGAATTACAAATAACGGGTTTTCCCTACCTTTTAAGTAATCTGCCTGGAAAGTCGAGTGTCTTACCAGAATGAGTTTGGTGTGCTGCACGTCGCCTTCATCAGTCCCTGAACCCCACCTTCTTGATATTACAAGAACTAACAGGCTTTCTGTAACAACTATTTAACTTCTGTATTTAATGCAAAGTCACACTGGATAAACAGGCACCTGACAAAATTCCCCCAAATAAAATTCTAGAATCTTTTTGACCTTGAACTATGTTGAAAAGCACAGGGGGGTTAGGTGTGCTGACCCCTGTCTTCCCCTCTGGCATGCAGTTGGAAATCCACATATAACTGTGACTCCCCCAAAACAACTACTAAGAGCCTACCCTTCTGCTGACCGGAAGCCTTACCAGTAAGAGCTGATGGAAACGTGCCTTGTGTGGTGCACACTGTAATCTTATAATATTGTAAGCCAGAGAAAATCTGTGTGTAAGTGGACTCAGGCAGTTCAAACCTATGTTGTTCAAGGGTCAACTGTAAAGAGAAATGTTAAGCCAATTAAGCTTATTTAATATGTTAAATTATATAGGAAGCATAGTCAAGTAAGAAGTGATGTTTAACCTTTTTAGGTTGTATTTGTATGGGTAGATTAAGTGGTTCCAGAAACTGTATAAAATTCTTAAAAACCTGGTATATCCTAGTATAATGCTATCAGTCATAATTCCTGTTAAAATGTTATGTCAGAGAAATAACCACATTTCCTTGTCAATTCCATTACAGTCTTTTGTTATTTATACAGAGTTCATGGTTTTACTCTGGTCTTTTGAGAAAGTAAGATTCATGGAAGAGACTCTACCAAGTATTTTGATCATTGGCACTACTCCCAAATTTCAAGGTGTCAAACCTTGGATATTTTGTAATTGAAGAAGGCTCCACCTGACTTCTGGTACTATGTAAAAAATAGAGACCTCAACTGACTGGGGAGAGAAGTACCCAATATCAAGGTAGGCTGCTTCCTCCCAAGACACAGGATAAGGAAAGATTTCTCCATTCCCTCTCTGATCATCCTTTCCTTAATTTTTACACCACACAGACATTTGATTCGTCTGCCAATCTTTTGCCTCCCCCTAGCCTGACAAGATAATGCCATTGTTCCCATATCTCAGGCCATGACAAAGGAGGGTAATTCAGCCACCAACACAAACTTCTCTGATTTCCAGTGCCTCAGTTTCTCTGAAACAAGTTTACGGAATACTTCTGGGGAAGCAGAGACACAGTTACACAAAATACAAAGAGGAAATCGGCTTAAAGAAATAGCTTCCTCTTTGGGATCATTTCTGGACTTGATTTTAGTTTGTTTGGGAGCCCTGGTGCAGGCGTACTCTCCAAATCATGGATATTAATAGTTACTGTCTACACTGTGTTTTTTCAAAAGTTTTAAAAAGTGTGGGCAGCCACTGACCAGCCAACAGACCTCTTTCCAGCTGGAATGACAAGATACCTGAAAAACATAACTATCTCCAAGAATATAAGCTTGACATTTTCTCTTCTGAACACTACACTGAGACCTGATGAGGCAATAATAATTGAGGGTAAGAAAAAATAGGAAGATCACATGTCATTAAAACAATGAATTAATGGATACATATAAACACTGAAAAGTAAAAATGTATTACAAAAACATTAAAGCAGAGGGGAACAAATAAAAACTGTAGTGATTTTAGGAAGTTTCCACCTAAATGACTATTAACGTAAGACAGACTGCTGTAAGTACAGGCTGGTATACATGAAGCACACGGCAGCTACAAATCAAAACTCCACAAGAGAGATACAAGGAATAAAAAGCATCCAAACAACACTCTACAAAATCATCAACCTACAAGAGTGAAAAAGGAATAGAGAAAAAACTACAAAAACAACCAACAATTACACTAAAAGTAAATGGACTAACCACCCAAATGAAAAGATACAGGGTGTCCGAAGGGGTAAGAAAACAAGACCGATGCATATGTTGCCCACAAGAGAACCACTTCAGACTGAAGGAAATACAGACTGAAAGTCAAGGGATGAAAAATATGTTTCATGCAAATGGAGATTTAAAAAAAGGTGGGGTTGTAATACAGGCAACATGGACTTGAAAACAAGGGCTGTAACAAAAAACAAAACATTTAATGATAGAGGGGTCATCCAACAAGAGGATATTACTTTCATGAACATCTATACACCCAAATGTAGGAGTAACTAAACACACACAACACTGACATAAATGGGGAGACAGACAATAACACTGATGTCGATGAACAGATCATTCAGACAGAAAACCTACCAAGAAAGAGTGGCCTCGAACACATTAGACCAAATGGGCTTAATTGATATTTTAAGACACTTCATACAAAAGCAGAATATATATTCTTTTCAGTTGCATATGAAGCATTTTCCAGAAGAGACCACATGTTATGCCACAAAACAAGTTCTCAATAGATCTGACTGAAATTATGTCTTCTCCAATCACAATAGTATGAAACTAGATATCAATTACAAGAAACTGAAAAAACAAAACAACTCCCAAACACTTGGAGGCTAAATGCCATGCTACTGCACAACAAGATTAAATGAGAAATGGAGATACTGGGAGGAAAATGAAAACACAGTGACCCCAAATCTGGGGGAAACGGCTAAAGCAGTTCTAAGAGAAAAATTCACAGGACTACAGGCCTACAAGAAGAAACAAGAAAAACCTCAAAAGCACTCTAATACACACCTAAAGGAATGAGAGAAAGAACAACCAAGTCCAAAGTGAGCAGAAGAAAGAAAATAATAAAGATCAGAAGTAAGTGAATTAGGGTCTAAAAAGACAACAGACAAAAAAAAGAAAATTGATAAACCTTTAGCCAGATTCATCAAGGAAAAAAAGGTGCCCAAATAAATAAAGTTAGAAATGAAAGAAATGACAACCCACATCATAGAAATACAAAATATAAGAAAATACTATGAACTGTATGCCAAGAAACTGGACAACGTGGAAGAAATAAATTCCTAGAAACACACAAGCCTTCGAGGTGAGTTAGGGAAAACCAGAAAATCTAAACAAAGTAACAAGTATAATTGAATCAAATCAGTAATCAAAAAACTCCCAACAAACGAAAGCCTTGGACCAGATGGCTTCACAGGTGAATTTATCAAGTATTCAAAGAAGAATCAGTACTTAATTTTTTTCAAATTATTCCAAAATACTGAAGGAGAGAATGCTACCAAACTCATTTTAGAAGCTCAGCATTTTGATATCAAAGCCATACAAAGACACTACAAAAAAAGAAAATTATGGGCCAATATCCTTGGTGAACATAGGTATAAAAATCCTCAAACTATTAACAAAATTCAGCAACACATTAAAAAGAGCATATAGCATGATCAAATGGGGTTTATTCCTGTGGTGTAAGCCTGGTTCAATCCGTAAATCAATTAAAGTGATAAACCCCATAAATAAAATTAAGGATAAAAAGTCGTATGATCAGAAATACAGAACAGGCTGACAGTGACCAGAGGGGAGGAAATTTGGGGGGAAGGGTGTACAGGAACAAGTATAAAGGACACATGGACAACAAGGGGAGGGAGGTAGAGAGGGCTGGGGGTGGGCTGGGATGGGAGTAAAAGGCAGAAAACTGTACTCGAACAACAATTAAAATGAGAAATAAAATCACATGACCATATCGAAAGAGGCAGAAAAAGCATTTGACAAAACCGGCATCCACTGACGATGAAAAATTCTCAGCAAAATGGAAATAGATGGCACACACCTCAACATAACAAAGGCCATATGACAAACCCATGGCCAACAGAATCAATGCTGAAAAGCTAAAAGGGGTTTAAGATGAGAAACAAAACAAAGATGTGCATTTTTAGCACTTTTAGCCACAGCAGCCAGAGAAGAAAAAAGAAAAGGCATTCAAGTTGGAAAGGAAAAAGTTATACTTATTTGCTGGTGACATACTATATAGAGAGAACCCTAAAGATTCCACCTGAAACTAATTAGAATACATGAATTGAGTAAAGTAATAGAATACAAAATCAACATCCAGAAATCAGTTGCATTTTTATATAGCATTAATGAACTATCAGAGAAATTAAAAGAACAGTCCCATTTACATGGCATAAAAAATACCTATGACTAAATTTACCTGTAATCAAGGTGGTAAAAGACCTGTAGTCAGAAAATTATAAGACACTGAGGGAAGAAATTACAGGTAAAAATAAATGGAAGGATACAACATGAATAGGAACAACTAACATTATTAAAATGTCCATATGAACCAAAGTAATCTATAGATTCAATGAAATCCCTATCAAAATACCAATGGCATTTTTCATAGAACTATAACAAACAATCCTAAAATTTATATGGGGGGGGGATCCCAAATAGCCAAAACAACCTTGACAAAGAAAAACAGTTTGCGGGATCACGATCCCTGGCATCTAACTATACTTACAGGGCAACCGTAAGTTGCTAGTGAACTCTATTCTCGTTTCAGAAGTAACTGAAACTGATGAGGTGCTGGTAGAAAATCCAGGACTTGTCAACAAATCTTGTTATGACGAGAGTTGAGTGATCAAGATGATACTGAGTAACCCTTCATAGCTAGATGAACTAATGAGCGAAGAAGCATGTGAGAAATGCATAAAATCTACTGAGTAAAAATGGAACCACCCCCCAAATAAATTAGTAGGAAACAACTTTGTTTTTAATCTAGCATAGTTATCTTAAAATAGTGGTAGACAGAAGACTGAAAATAGCAACTATTAGCAAGACCAACGAAAAAAGAAACTACTTTCAACAATGCTTTTGGGAGAAAATAACCCTAATGATTGCAGATAAACACAATTTGTGCCTTTTTCACAACACCCTATGACTTTTAAACTAGGCTACAGTTACAATATTCAGAATTCCTGACATTATCTGTAAAAAATAGTAACAAAATTTACATAATTACAAAGTATTGTTATCTCAAATGTTACGTAATACTATAACTTGCTTACGTCTATCTCTGGAATTGGGTCAGGATGCTTAATGACCTTTCCACTGGAAATAATTAGCAGTGGAGAAAGTTTTTGTTACCTGTATGGTGTCAGATGATGATCAGCACTATCTTGATTTTGCAACATACTGGGTTTGCTGGTGCTATTTTTATATGGTGAAGCAACGGCCTTGCAGGAAAATATGAGAAACAGTTTGATAATAAAATATTCAACTTCTTCACTTTAAAAAAGAAACTTAACATGGTACTAGCATAAAAACAGACATATAGATCAATGGGACAGAATAGAGAGCCCAGAAATAAACCCATACCTGTATGGTCAATTAATCTATGACAAAAGGCAGTAACATACAATGGGGTAAAGACATCCTCTACAATGAATGCTGTTGGGAAAACTGAACAGATACATGCAAAAAAAATCAGATCATTTTCTAGCACCATATACAAGAATAAACTAAAAAAATGGATTAGAGACTTACATGCAAGGTTTTATAAAACTCCTAAAAGAAACAAAGGCAGTTTCTTAGTAATACTTTTTTGAGTAAGACTCCTCAACCAAGGGAAATAACACTAAAGAAATGGGACTAAATGAAACTAAGAAGTTTTTGTACCATAAAATAAGCCAACAAAAGAACAAGACAACCAATTAAATGGAAGGAGATACTGTCAATGATACATCCAGTATCGGGTTACTACCCAACATACCAGGTGGGACAAATGTAAGTTTACAGTTGTGTGTACATAAAACGGTTTATCCTTGTGTGGTTAGTTATTACTGCACTATCTTCCATACAAACAACTGTAAACCTACTTTTGCCATACCTGTATATAGGAACTCAGACCAAAAATAATAATCAGAATAAAAAACTGGGCGGAGGACCCAACAGGCCTTTCTCCAAGGAGGACATACAAATGGCTGAGAGACATATGAAAAGATGCTTCAGTTCACTAATCATCAGAGAAACACACATTAAAACACAATGAGGTACTGCCTTACATCTGTCAGAATGGCAATTATCAATAAATCAACACGTGTTGGCAAGGATGTGGAGAAATGGGAACCCTGGCGCACTGTTGGTGGGAATACAAATTGGCACAGCCACTATGGAAAACAGTACGGGGGCTTCTCAGAAAGTTAAAAATTAAACTACCACATAACCCAGCAATCCCACTTCTGGGCAATAACCCAAAGAAATCCAAAATACTAATTCAAAAAGATATGTGCATCTCTATATTCATTACAGCATTATTTACAATAGCCAAGATATGCAAGCAACCTAAGTGCCCATGGACAATTAAAGATGCGGTACACATATACCATGGAACATTACTCAGCCATAAAAAAAGAACAGGCCCTGGCTGGTGTAGCTCAGTGGATTGAGTGTGGGCCTGCGAACCAGAGGATCGCGGTTCAATTCCCAGTTAGGGCACGTGCCTGGGTTGCAGGCCAGTTCCTGGCAGGGGACGCACGAGAGGCAACCGTACATTGATATTTCTCTCACTCTCTCCTTCCATTACCCTCTAAAGATAAAAATAAATAAGATATTTAAAAAAAAAAAAAAGAACAGAGTTTTACTGTTTGCGACAACATGGATTGACCTAGACCTAGAGAGTACTATGCTCAGTGAAATGAGCCGTACAGAGAAAGACAAATATCATGATTTCATTTATATGTGGAATCTAAAAAAAAAACAAAACAAAACTCAGATACAGAAAACAAATTGATAAAGAGGTTGGTGGGATGGGATTGAGAAATACAAACAGCCAGTTACAAAAAGTTGGGGGTGTACAGTATAAGAAATATAGTCAGTTATATCTTAATAGTATGGTGCCAGATGGGTAATGGATTTATTGGGGTTATCACTTTATAAGGTATAAAAATGTCTGGTGTCGATGTTGTGGATCTGAAACTAATATTGTACGTCAAATGTAACTGAAAACTACTGTATTTTTTGGACTATAAGACACACACCCCCATTTGAGAGGAATAATGGTTGTTAATGCTGCTGTTGAGTTGTTTACATTTACACTGGTGAAATGTTATTTGTCGTTAAATATTTTACCACATTTTCTGCTTCAAAAATTTTTTTCCTACTTCCTTCCCCTAAAACCTAGGTGCGCCTTATGGTCCAAAAAATATGCTAATTTTTAAAAGACTCCCAAAGAGGACAGCAGCATTTATAATTAAAACCAAAGTCTAGCAATGACTGATAATCAGTCAACCAATGCCAACCCCGATGCTTAAGCACCTTCCCCAATTTCAGGAACTCTCAATAGTTGGGCGTATCCAGAATTATCTACCTTTGTGATACTGTCCAGCTCTGTCTAGCACCCAGAATTCCAACAAGACACTAAGTTAGTGTATAGCGAACTCTAATCATGTATATTTAATTGAACACTAAATTTGAGAAATCTGATCAAGTGTGTGTTTGGCTTACATTTCTACTATTAGTCACTAGTAATAGAAGTGGAAGTAAACGAACTTCATACCACTTACCTGTGAGAAGATTTTCATATTGGTCTCACAGCCTATGAAAAAACTACGACAATACTCATTGAAGTATTGGAAACAGTAATAATAGAACTGGTATCTCTGTACAAGCATATTGTAATTTATGTAATATAATACAGGTTGATTTCTCAGAATAAAATAATTGGACATGTAGAGGGAAATTTCTATAACTCTCTTTAAAGCACAGTCTGTAATAGCAAAAATTCCTTTCATAATATGAATGCCAGCCTTTATTTTGGATGTTTTGTATGTTGATCTTTCTTAACACACACACATATATATATATATATATACCATCATTAGTAAATCCCCAATACAATCAGATTAAAGAGCCTGTATCATTGTCAAAGTGTGGCACCTGGCGGCCCACTAAGCTGTGGTTCTGCTCATCTTATTGCTCCTCCTCCCTCCGTCTTAAGAACATTTTCTTTGGGGACATGCCACTTATCAGGTCAGTACATTGCCATTCCAAGTGTGAAAAGTGCTTAACCTGGTGGATCCATATGATGGTTTGGCCAAAGAGCCCATTTAGTTTTTTCTGTAAAATAAAAGACAGCTTTTTCATTTTCACCAATAACTTCATGGATTCAGATATTTTGAGTATGTCAGCTCTCTCCCACCTGGCATAATATTTATTGTTCTCAATTTATGTCTCAATTTGTTTACTATCAACTTCAACTAGTCTACCTGACTTCGGAGCATCATCCAGTGAGAAAAATCTCCAGCACAAAACTTTGCAAACCACTTTTGACACGTTCAATCAGCCACAGCACCTTCTCCATACGCTGCGCAAATCTTTTATTGTGTTTCTGTTGTGTTTTTACCTTTCTTGAAATAACAAATTGTATGCCGAAAATGTTGCATATTTTCTTCCGTCTTCGATATTAACATTATGACCACACAAAAATTCACTTATTTTGATAGGTTTTTTTAAATGCATGCTGATGTGACAGCAGTCACAATACAATCTAAAAAAATGGTCTCAAATGAAGTTAAAGACAACTAAGCGTTACTAGAGCCATTTTACGGAAAAAAAACCCAACCTATTTGGTCAACCTAATGTTTTATCCTCTCCCCTAAAAAAACAATCAAAACTGGGCACCAGTCATTTTGCAATGGAAAGATTCCTGACTAAATTTTCTTTTTCAGCTGAAGTTAAAGGTATTAGAGACTATGGGCAAAGAATTCATACTCACATGTATCCTCATACACGGTAGAGGGCTTCATGAACAGAAGGGGCAACACAGCAAGTCCCACCGGCCAAGGGGCTACTTGGCAGGCTGAACAAGCCCAGGGACTGGAAGCAACCACACAGGACGGTCTGGTCATAAATTCCTAAACTGGGCAGGTTGTGGCAGGTAGTCGGTCACATTCCAGGCTTACAACGTCCTTAAGCGAGCCCTGTCCATGGTTCTTATGCATCTAGGATAACATACCTTTGAAATGTCAGAGTAATTTTCTTTTCCTGGTCCCTCGTGAAGGCACAACCACCCACCCTGGAGACCACGTAACACGTATGGTTATGTTCTCCCGCACATACCATCTCTACGTGCCGTAAATGTTCATTAACTATCTTGTGACCACCAGTGTAAAAAGGCAGCAAGTATGTCTCCATTTTCCTTTTCTATCCAATCCCAGGAATTTCCACATTTTGCTTTCCTCCTGCCTCATTAATCTACCACCAATAGCTACTACATAACCTTCCTCAACGTTTTCTCCTTTGATTTTAAATGTGTAAAATAAACTGCAAAACTGTCACTTTCCAGAGTATTTTCTCAATCTGTTGAGATCTCGCTTTAGGGCATGTCCTCAAATCTTGGTTGAAATAAATTTTATACAGTTTTCTATTCTACAGGTTTGGGCATTCTTTCACTGACGACTTTAAAATAGCCTTTCTTCTATACAAAAGACAAAATTTTGCTAAATGTTTAACTTCTAAAGGATTTTTTAAGGACTCAAATTAGGACTTATTCTATTTAAAACCTCATTTAAGAATCAAATAGAAAGCTGTTCACATCCCCATCAAACTAAAACCTCATTTAAGAATCAAATAGAAAGCTGTTCACATCCCCATCAAACTAAGATCCATTAAATATCCAACAGTGAATTTTTCAAATAGTTACTTCCAAGAATCAAAACTTTCTAACCTTTAAGGTAACAGACATAAACTTTCAAAGTGACTTGTAAAAGCTCCCAGATGTTGTATAATACCCTCCCCTCCCAATAGGTTCCATTCAAGTAAAATGTTTTATGGCATCATTTGTTCTCCTACTTTCAGGAGTTTGCGTTCCTTTTCTTAGGGGGAAAAGGTGGAAATCAGTGTTTGAAGGTATTTATCACACCCCTTCTCTCTGTATGTAGTGAAATACATGTGGTAGAATTTCTAAAGTTTCCTATTATTTATGGACGAGTAGCCTGTCCCTGTGTCTCAGTTTCACAGAAGACCACACACAGTAATGAAGGCAGATGCCAGCTAGTTTAAATTCTACTGAATGACACCAGTGACTTTTCCATTAAAAATTCCTTGTTGTGCCAAAATATTCACAGAAAAAGCCCATTGAAGCTAATTTTTATTAAAATCAAACCAGCAGTTGGCCCCCTAAAATTAAACAAAGACTATTGTCTCAGATGTCCCTCACAAGAAACATCACCTTCATGGAGACAGAAATCTGCGATCGGATTGGCTAGCATTGTTCTCACTCAGGAGGCATGAGCCACCAAGATGTGAATTATGACTTAGTAAATTCACACCCAAAATGAAGGGGCATTATGTTTGTAAAAAGACATCAACTATTAATTTACATGAGGGTATAAAATACTTTAAAATATGTACATGATTATTTAAAAGGAGGTGCTCTATTTCAATAAGAAATTAGATACCTGAACTCATGGCCATGTCCAGAATTTTAATGGCTAACCAAACCACCTGATTTCTCTCATTCGAAACAAATACAGATAAACAGAAAATGACTATCTTCAGTTTAAAACTAAATATTTTTTGTTCACATGAAGCAACATTATTTGTGGATCAGGGCTCAGCCAAGAGGAGGACTTCCTCCTTTCACTGTCTAACTGGTCCCTCTGTGACACCCAGATTTTAAACACTGCAATCATAGGACTTTGAAATGCAAATTCATAAATGAAGCAATAATTTGTATACTCACCTTTTTGACTCTGGAGTGAAACTTTCTGAAAGCATTCCTAAGCTATGTTTCAACTGCACTACTATGTGTGGTAAAATTGAGTGCTTCTTCTTTAGCTTGGAAAAGATGGTCAAACTACCTTGGCAAGAGGACATTTTCCTTTGAGCACTTTCCAATTGCCTACCCTTCCATTCAGAAAAGATAAGCAGGGCCTGCTAATTCAAAGGACAAAATGACTGCATTGCCAGATGCTGATGTACAAATACATTTTGAATGCAATATGGTATATCTCAGTCTATTTATACTTCTGCCAGAGCCACATAAGCCACTGACGGTGTACTTGGGTTTTCTTATTGCTGGAAAGATCAGATGCTTGGCATCGGGGAAAGCTTTCAATGAGTTGGAGTTGAGTAAATCCTAGCTCCCACATACTCTGCTCATCCATAAACCCTGGCTACAGGTGTGATCATGTCTAGTCATTGGGGGTCTTGCAGCTATGACTCTAGGGTCTTGGTTCTAAATCGAGGGAAATCTGGACTTTTTGTTTGGAGATAAACACCGGAGTGTTAGGTCAAGGTTGCCTGAATTGCACTTAACTTTTGAGAGGATGGGATAATATATATCGTTAGGATCATCTTACAACTGTCTGTCAGAATTTAAGAACTACTTAGCTGGGATCTGCCTGAGCACATCGGTGCTTGTTAATAAGGTCACAGGACTATAATCTTAAATACTGTTAACTTAAGACTGTGGAGAGAAAACCACTTTTAAATACTGTTTTAAAAGATTAATATTGCCCTGGCTGAGTAGCTCATTTGGTTAGTGTCATCCCCCATACACCAAGGTTGTGGGTTCAATCCTTGGTCAGGGCACATACAAGAAGCAACTAATGAATGCATAAATAAGTAGAACAACAAGTTGATGTTTCTTTTTCCCTCTCTCTAAAATCAATTTAAAAAAAGATTAACATAGCACTGAATATATCAGTGAAAGTTTTGGGGACATCAGTTAGAAATTCTGGCTCGAATTCTTTTAGAAAATTATGTATTTTTTCTCTTTAGTACTACTTCCTTTCATGATCCTTCTCAAAATTTGTTTGTTGCCCTGTTTTAACTCAGAAGACAAATATGGAAGAACAAACCATCAGAAGAACAGTATTCTAAGATACCAATGAACTTATTACTAAAAGCTCAACAGCTGGTGTGCTGTAAGTGCTGGAGCAAAATAAGACAATTAAATGGTTTATGCACTGTTATCAAAATAGTATATGCACTGTTCAGTCTTCAGAAAATAAATGGCAAATGCATATTCAAAATGACACCACCACCACAACAGTCACCCTGAACACATGCAAAAAAGTGACTAAGACCCTTTTAACCAATAATGTATAATTTACATTATAGACAAGGCCTAAATCTACACAGAAAGTGAGACGCTATTGCTAGTAAGTTATTTTTTCATATTTTATCTTTAGCAATATCTGAAAACCCAGAGAATCAGCCACAGAATATTTTCCCATTGTCCATTTTAAGAAGTAATGCCACGTGGATGAAAGCAAGTCCTCTAAGGTCTACTTCGTGGAGGATGATACCACCCAAAGAGAACATTCTTTCAAGTCAGCCATGTTTTTATTTTATCAGCTGAAACAGAAAAATTTCCTTAGCCAATTAGTGTTTTAGAAAGGTTTACTTTGGCAAACTAAAAAAATTCATATGTAAAATATTTTGTCAAACATTAGGTTAGCAAATGGCACAGCAATTTTCTTAATCTAGTTTCCTTCTTTGACACTGAACGAGGAATAAACCAATGTCAGTTAAACTAGCGAGGTCTGGCCCATTAAGAATATGTTTGCCCTCAGAAGACATCTTTTATATCTCTGAGAATAAAAATGAAATTTAGAATTGAGATCAAAGATTCAATGTGAAGGTCTAATTCTTAAAAATAGGAAATAGATGCTTCAAAAAAATTAAATTTTTACTATAATTCCCTCCAACAGCCAGCTCCCAAATTCCACAATATATTTTCAGTCCAAATTATAAAGGCAGATGAAAACCACAAAAACCAGTCCCTTTCAGGGGAACATACATTTAATGCCCAATAGGGTATATATTTTTTAAAAGCCTCACACCAAATACCGCACAGAGCTGTATTTCATATGTTGAGCGTTCCACTAAAAGCCATACTGCAAACAATGAGTCTCGTTATAAAAGGGTCACCTGCACAGTTCAAACAAACAGCAAAACCACACAGACATCCAACAAAACCAAATGCGTTCACTCACTTCCACGTTGGAAGAAATTCAATTAAGAAATGTATGAAAAATGGCGTTGGGAATCTGCTATGTCAAACACCTCTACAGACAAGAAAAAAACAAAAAAAAATCAAACTTTTGTTTTCCTTTTTCTTTAATACAGTTGCCATCTTACATGAGGTGCCTTCTCAATAGTATCTAATCTACTTACTTGCTGCGCCCGTTGGCATCCTAGGATAGAACTCTTATTACCATCCATGTTCATTAATTATGGCCTAACTGTTCTTCACTATGTACTGTTCTTAAAGACACTACATCTAACTCATGGTCGGGCCATAATTAATGGGTAAGTGGTATTTTTCTAAAAATGGATTAATGCACACATCCAAACCACATTAAAATTTCAACTTAAGACTTCATACAAAATCTATTTCTTTTCTAGAGTAGCTACAGTTCCAGATTACAGTTTTGAAATTCAGAAATGGAAACGTCTTTTTATTTTGTTGATGCTTCATTCTTCCTTTCTCCTTCCCTTTTTAACTTTCTTAATAACAAGGTTAAAAGAAGTGGGTTGTTAAGAAAATTAAAGTCTAGTAAACATCAAAAACTTATAGATCAGAGTGGTCACAAACTCTTCTTTATAGTGATGTTAAATTACTGACAAAATAATTTTTGGAAACAAAAGTATCTAAAAACCAGCACACGCCAGAGGTGCCGCTTATTTCAGCACCTGCCGTTCCTCTATGCTTTTGAGGCGTTTCTTCCGGGGCTGTACAAAGTCATCATCTGAGTCATCACTGAATTTATTATCTTCTGATTCATTTCTGAATTCAAGTTTAGGAAACCTTTTTTCTGGATAAAGGTTCTTTAGAAGTTCTTCAAAATAGCTTTCAAGTTTTATACCAGCATTGGCTACTTCTGAATCAGGCTGTTGGATAAAAATAAAATATGAATTAAAAAACAAACGCCAACATTTCAGTCACTAAGAGTAGTAAATTTCTCACTTTGCTCCCTTTCAACTTGAGATTAGGAGTACTAGTGAACTGTTTTGTAAAAATGTTTATGCAATGTCACTGATATAAAGTAATAGCCTGGGGCTAAACAAAATGTAGAGAAAGTCAGATAAAAGGTAAATAAAAGGCTCTGACTGTCTGGATTATTCTCTAAGGATGGGGCAGTGGTAGAACTGGATTACCAAAGAGAGATAAAAAAGATGCCCTATTGTAAGCATTATATAACAGGTATTTTTAGAACAAAGGAAATGTGGAACTCTGGAATCAGTAACGGACACTAGAACAAACCATGAGCAAAAGGCTCTAAATCTGGCAGATATTTAGATAAACTGACAGATGGGAAAAATTTTAAATTAGAACTATTTAGGCCACATCCTTAGTAGTTCAAGATCAACATTAAAAAGACTAAAGCATGGAAGTGCTATATTCCAAGAAATAAAGATGGGAATGAAGAAGAATTCTAGGTTAGATAAAAATATTTTCTAAATCTTTAAGTTGTCAGCTCTAATTTGCAGTTCCACTCACCATATAATAAACCTTGGAATATAAATGTGGATGAAGTCATTCCCTGAGACACTTGAACTTCTGGAAGTTACACCAGCGTAACTAACCTTGCCTGTTGATAAGGTGTTTGGTTTAATACCACGTTCCGTACTGCTATTAGTCTCCCCTTCCCCAGCTCACCTCATTGAACTCAGCACAGTTCTGAAAGATCAATCTAAAATCAGCTACGAAGTCTTCAGGCTTTGCGTACATGAAATTATCTTCTTGTAGTCTTTTCTTGATAGTTGACAAGTCCATTGGATTTTTAATTATTTTGTAATAATCAGGCACCTTTCAAAATAAATGAGATACTATAATGCAAATAACTAAATTCTACCTGGTCCCAAATGAATTCTACAATAGTAGAATAAAACTCAGACTATATTGTTTTGTCATTGCTAAGGAGACTTATGTAGCAACTTTTACACATGCCTACACTTTTTTTCAAAAATTTTCACCAATTATTTTTAATTAACAACATCACATTTTCCCTCCTAAACTTCCCTTTTCTTCATTATTAAATAAAAAGCAATGATTAAAAACACTGTTATTCCCGGCAGGATCTGACATGTTGCTGCTGAATGCGGTCTAGAGTGAACGGGCTTGAATCTGGGTTTGAGCCCCAGCTTGGCTACTCAGTAAGTAGCATGCTCCTGGGAAAGTTCCTTACCTCACCGAACTTCACATATCAAACGGGAATAATCTTACCGCCCTCACAGTTTTTGTAAACACTGAATGAGATGACATATATTAAGAAAAAGGGGGCTATTTTTTGCTACTGCTACTGTTATTAATACCAAATGTAACTAACTATAAACCAAGATCATAAAAACTCCCGAGTTCTAGGTTAAATTTTTCAGTGGAGTAAGTTTCACTAGTTAGAACCCTCTTTTCTTCCACTTTTTTTGCCCTGCCTCTTTTAGGCACAAAAGTTCCTTCCCCTGAAAGTATTTATTTCCTTTTCCTATCTCAACTTCTCAAAACCTGGCCTCAAGAAAGAAGTTCATTGTTTATCAGTTGAATATATTTATTAAGCTCATTTTCTTTTCTAGCCTTTAACTTTTTTAAATTTATCAAACTGTAGAGTACTAAATTTTTAAAGAAATTCTGGATCAGAGAACAGAACATATTTTCAGTAGTACTTTTAGCACTCTAAAATTATGCATTACAGTCATATCAAACTTTCGGTATAAACCTTTATGAAGTCAATGGTCGACACTCAACGCACGCTCACACACACGACTTCCTCTGTTAAAAGTCTACTTAACATCTGAAGTCTGGACACATAGAATTAAAATATGTACAGGGAATTCTGGGGGTCTTTATCTCAAATGGAAAGTTTCCCCCCCAAGAGTTTAGGAGATATGCCTAAATCTCCTGAGAGAGACAACTGATACAAATCATTATAGAGAATAGCAGGTAAAATGCATGAGATGAGAAGAATGTATGAGACATGAATAGAGGGTTTGGGCCAATCTGTTAACAGTAAAATGTATTTCAGATCAAAGCTTCCAGTATGTATGAATAGGCTGAAGTATGTATGTATCTGATACTGAATAGTATGTATCTGAGACTGAATCAGATACAAGAAACTACTGAAAAATGGTACAGAAACTAGATTCTCATAAATCAAGTTTCAGAAAAATCATTCCATTGTGTAAAAATGCACAAAATGACATTAATACTTACAGTTAGAGGAACTGGGTCTTGAAAAGCCAGGCTCATTTCATGGCAATAAAGAAATAAAAGTAGACGTTCACACTTCTAAGCAAAAAATAAAATAAAATGAAGTCACAGCTTATTTTTTACTACAATGTCGTATGTCTCAAAGTACCTGAATAAAAATTAAAACCAGATGAATACAAGAAAAGTACTGATACTTGGAATTTTTATCTCCTTCCCAGTCACTTACTGAACTGTGCTGCTTGTCAGTCTGTGCTATGAGATCCGTCCTTGTAATTACAGGAACAAAAGATAGTGTCACTAGCAACCCATTTGAAGCTTTTTAAAAATTAATTCCCAGCTATCTCTCCAGTTTGTGTACTGAATTATTATAAAGGAAGAGATCCAAATGCGGAGCCCTTTCCTGGTTTGTCCAGTCCTAAGGCCCCCTTTCTCTCTCTGATGGCACTTTGCTCCTTCTCTGCCTACGGGTTCACCCCAATAAACGCCCGAGCACTGGCAGTGCACGGCTGGGCCCGCTGTTGCATGTCAACTCTCACACTCACTCTTCTACTCAACAACTGAGCTAAGGAGCTTCTTTATTAGTCCAGAAATGTTGATTCGGTAGGGTTAAGTGGTAATTACAGTTAAATATTTTGAGGCATAAACCCAGTACCACTGGGTGAAAGAATGGAATTATTTCCGGGAAAAGTAAATTAAAAAAATCATCTCTCAACAAATTCTGCGAAGAAAACCTATCTATAGCATAAATAAAACAAAACAGAAATTTACTAACTACGGACTAAATTTAAGAGTCCAGGACACATAAAGGATACACATTCTATGTTTTCAAGTAAGGTATTTTAAGCATCTACAAAATGCTACTACATACACAAGTAGTACTGTGATTTTTTTAAACTAAAAAAGTTAGTCTGCTTTTAAATATATTATTTAAGATTCTTACATTTTTGTGGCAATTACTAAAAAAAGTTGATATAAAATTTGATTGAATATACACTTCTTTGATGAAAAGCACACCTGAATTATAATAATGCATCTAATGACAAAACCCCTGCTTAACAGTCTAGGTTGGAAAGGCTAAAAAACTTACCCTTTTATCTATTGGTGCTAATTTACCAAGGCCTTCAGTTTTCTTTTTTTCTGAGTTGTGACTGGGAGCATCACAATCATATTCAACTTCTGGTTTAGATAAGTCTCGGCAGAAAGTGCAAATCCACTCTCCACTGTCGGGGGATAAAGTCTTTGAGTTCTTAAGGCATCATTTTTCTCTACACCATATCCCTTGCCTGCCTCCTCCATGCCATCCATGATACACGACTATTTATCTGGCATGAATTTTAATCACTGAGAATTTACCATTAACTACTATGTACATGGCACCATGCTAAGAGAGCTGAACAGTAGAAATGCAATCCAGGGACCTGAAGGGTAAATATGAATCTAGCCAAGGAGGTAAGAAATACGTATATAAAATAAACACTTAAATAAGAAGACACATTAATCTATGGCTGCTGTGATGCATAACTGGTGTTTTGCCCCAATGATTCAAGAAAATGAAATGCTCTTAGTACTATTACTGTAACTTCATTTGAAATTAAATTTTACATAGTATAGCCTTTGAAGAACTGAGAGATGAACTCAACAGCCATCGTCATCTCAAAGGCGCTGTGAGAATCTGAGATATCTGTAGACATCAGTGCCTGTGAAGCAAGACGCAACTGCAGCAGTGGTGTATGAGGACCGCTGATATCCACAGCAACCCCTTGTAACGATTCAAAGTTTATTATGTTTCTTTTCCAAACAGAGGCAGGGTATGGGAAGGAAAGGTTTTATGTTATACTAATTGTCAAAAGTTTATTGCTGTTATTGTTGACAGTGAAAGAATGTGGGAAAGGGAAGCAAGCAGTATCTTACCTTGGAAAATTTGCCAGTGTGGGCACATGACAAGAAAGGTGGAATACTTTGGGACACTTCTCACAGCACAGGAGCTCCCCTCCGTTCTGACAAACTGCACACCAGTCCTCATTGGGGTCATCTTCTTTCCTCGCCTCTCCAACGTGGAGGGGTGACTTCTGGGAGGCATCCAGCCACTCAGACTTCCTGTTGGAGGCGTTTTCCTGGTGAAGTCCAGGTTGATCTCCTGTGCTGTCAGGGGCATCTGACCTGAGCACAGACTCCTCAGAAGCAGAGCTCTGATTACTATTTAAGAGCAGGGAGGTGAGTATGCTTCTTGGGTAGTTGGTCTGCAATGGAAGGAAGCAAGCGTATACGTTTTCTTAAAACTGGTGTTCTCTTGTTAGCACTGCTAAAGTTTTAGACCAAAGACGGCTCTCATGAGCACTGGTTACTTCAAAGGAGTCTGTGAACATGCGTGAGAACAGAATCTATTTACTACTGACTGAATTAGAGTCTCTAACAATGCAGAAGCCGTGGACCTCTACTGAAAATCATCGTTAAAACGGAGTATCATTAGTAAGGGGGTGTGGATAATAAAGTCTTTTAATTTGTTGCTGGTTATAGAAATGGGAGAAGAGGTGGGTAGTGTAAAAGTATGAACCGTAAGTATATTTTATTGGAACTGTTAATTCAAATTATAACTAGATACAAAACAAGTCTTGTGTAGATTTTTAAAAAATCATTCATAGAGCCATTAATAACTTTAAGATGAATCAAAATTTTATGTCAGGGCCTAGGATGGTGAAAATTTCAAATGACTAAGTCGTTCTCAAGACTAAGTCTCCGACAGTGTTATAAAATGCTTCTCAGTGCTGTGCAAACACTGTCCTGCCCTTCCATCCATACTCCCGTGGAGTCTCCTGTCCTCCTGCTACAGGGCATCCTGGAGGAGCTGCCGGACTGGGGACTGCCCTTGTCTTTGCCTGTCTTCCATGTTAGACCCCATATTTCTGGGATCTTATGTTTTCCTCTTTCTTGGTCTATTCCATTTTTGATGAATCATATTTCAAATATCTTCCTGATGGAAGTACACGGAAATTAATTTTTTGTGATATTGTGTGCATGTCTAAAAATGTTTATTTTATCTTTACATGATTGTTAATTTTTTCGCTTAATGTTCTGGTACTTGTTAGGTCCTGTCACTTCAGATGCTCATGTCTTTTTTTCAGTTACATGAAGTTTCCTTATATTAATTCTGTGGCAATTACCTTCCATGTGTTTTACTCTGTTTTCTTTAAAATGCCCAAGCTCCTCATTTGAACCTATGATTTTTGAAATTCTTCTGTTTTCCATCTATTTTTTGTTTTAATTTACTGAGACTTTCCTCAAATATTTCAACTTGTAAGTCAACTATTCTCACTTTAAAAATGATTTTTTTTAACCTATGAGCTATGTAAAAGTTTTTCTTATCCTATCACCTGAAGAGGAATAGTACTGCAATTATTAATATAATTACATTTTGAGGCCTAGATTCTTCTTCTGATTCTTGTTTCACTATAACAACAGGAAAATCATAATTTTCAGGTGGTCCACTGTTTTCTTGTTTTATTCGGATTGGCTCCAACATCACCACTGGGACTTTGTGTGTAGAATCAGCTCCTGCTGGTTTGCTGGAAGAGCCAGAGCTTTAAGTATAAAAAAGACAGAAAAAAAAAATCTAAGAATGCTCCCTTAAGTATCTCAAAGTATCACCGCTTTCAGAATAATGCCACCTCTTTACAACAACAGGAACTACATTACATCTTTAATAAATGATACATGACTTAAATGAAACTGTTATATATGTTTTCTTACATATAAAAAATGTTCTACCCATCAACTTATCTAAATAGTTACACTATACATCTGAAGAATCTGAAATAAATTAAATAATGCCTGAATTAAAAGAAAACTGATTTCAATATTCTGAGGCTCTAAAGTTGGGCAGCGAGAGTTAGTATGTTAGAACTAGCATCTTTTTTTTAGGCCTTACTATTTCCTTCTCTAGTCAGTGACAAAGAGAAGTCTAGGCTCATGTTAACAATTTATTGTTCAGCAGCGAGAAGACAATTAACTAGCGACATAATTTATTGATGTTCCAATATTTACAAAAACAGTGGGACAAAAAACTTTTATAGACAGCCACTGTTCTCGTGGGATTGAATCGAAACTTTCTTCAGAAAATGCTGGTTCCATATGATGAAAAAACAAGAACTGGGTTCACGCTCTAGGAAAAATTTGCAAGCATGGGGAATATAACAAGCAAAGCAGTAAATTAAAATAGAATTTCAACAAATACAAATTAACTTTAAAGCAAAATCAACATTTGGTCATTAGAAAATTGAGAGAACATTGAAATAGTTAGTATTAAAATTGTTTCTTTTCCCTAAGTTTGCTTTTGTGTGTCTTCCCATATAGTTCAATGTGTTTTACCCTACTTCACCTCTCCTTGCTATATGATAAAAATAAAACTATTTTTAACATATACATAAATATCTGTATCTAAACATAAAATTGTAATTTACCTAAACCATTAATTTATTAACATACTATATGATAATTAAATCATTTAAATTTAAAAGTCAAAAATTAAAAAACATTGCTCGAAGTATACTGACTACCAAAGCATTTGAGATTTGAGCACTGGGGCAAAAGAAACTTAGTGAGACCTTTTACCTAGAGAATAAAATAAAATCAGCTCACCTTCCTCGGCTCCCAACACTGGAGGCACTAGGTGAACGGATTGGCGGATGTACACTAGTCATAGTAACAGGTCCTGATGAGAAGGAAATCATGCACATTCACAAAATGAATGATTAATTATGTATTTAATTCATATTGAATGTGCTCAGTACTAACTTGAAAGTGGAACACATAATGAAATTATATAAAACACTAAGTAGCTGCTCAACTCCTAGCACAGTCTGAGTCCCCGTAGACTAGCAGGGTTGTTCAAAGTGAACACAATCGACATTTTGGGCCAGGTAATCCTTTGTTGTGGAGGGCCGTTTGCGCACTGTAGGATGTTTAGCAGCATCCCAGGCCCCCAGCAGTTATTAGCATCTCTAAACTTCTTCCCACCCAGGAGTGTAACAATCAAAAATGTTCCCTGTGTGAGAGTAACCAGAACAGGATCTCAGTGAGGACACTAGTGCCAATGAAAGTGGGAGGGGCTGATATAAAAGCAGTCTAGGAAAGAAAGCCACACTGAAGCAAACATTCTGCTAGGAATTCACATAAGGTTCTTTGTCTAGTGCCTGGCAAAGAGTCAGAACTGAATAAAGGTCACCTTTAGTCATACTGCCAACATGGCTTCCGGAAGTATTTTGTCAACGTGTACTCTCCGAAGCTACACATCAGAGTATCTCAAGCATCACATTCTCATCAATAAGTATGTCCACTGTTTACATTTTGCTAATTCTTGTTTTGATTTTTTTTTTAATGACTACTAGTAGTGCGACTAAACACCCCTGCCCCCACCCAACTGGCCCCATTTTATTGGCTATAGGTATTTTCCTTTTAGGGAATTGTCTGCTTATGTCCTCAGTACTTTCCTTATTTAATTGAATTAACTTGTTATATAATTAAACAGCCTTTGCTCTATTTTGCCCATAATTTCCTTCCCATTTTAAAGTCTGTGTTTTAAATAACCATTTCCTTTTAAATTGTGTAATCTGCTTTATGTGTATGTGACTAGTGAATGACTTAAGAAAGTCTCCTCTTTCCTTATTTTGGTCTAAGACACCTATTTTGACATAGTTGCTAAGAGTAGTATTCGACAGCTTCCCTCCTGTTAAAAATCCTTAAACAAACACCAAGCAAACCACCAACAGAGTGACTGGCACTGATAAATTATGACCCTAGGCAAATTACATCCTGAAAGACACCACATCTTGTCAAAAAGAGAAAAGTATAATACCAATTTCTTCCTGGGAGTATATAATGCCTGTAAATGATGTTGAAATTGAAAATGTATAGAGGTTTAACCTTTGATTTCCACTTTGAAAGTACCATACATTAATTTCAAATAGGGCCAAATACTCAGACCCTTTTAAATCATCCAACAAAAAAGAAGAGGTTTTTTTTTTAAGTTACAACTTGAGGGAAAAACCCAAAATCCAAAGCAGCCCACTTTACCTGCAAGGCCTGGAGACGGCACTGATGAATTTGGAGACTGGACGGTTCTGTTTGAAGGTGGTCTTGGCTGGCCATGATCTACACTATTATCTTTCCTCACAATATTGTCCAGCATAATTGTACTTGAACAGTCAATCTTATAAAAAAAAAAAAAAAAGACATTATTTCATGGTATCCAGACTTCACCAGTTGAAAGCTACTTTGTAAGAAAACTTTGTTTCATTATTATCAAACGATAGCATATGCCAATATATTTGAGAAGTTTTGATGCATACTGTCTCCATAAACAATCTTTAAAAAAAGTTTTCATTCTCAATGTTCCATGTGAGTGAGTATACCAGGACACCCTACCTCAGAAATCGTGAGCCAAGACAAAGGAATACTGCGGGTCATTCACACCCATAAAAATTAAAGCAAAAACATTTTTTTAATACTTTAAAAATAACAAAAAGCCAATTTTTTAAAAAAAGCCTTGGTGGGAACAGTGGCCAGTTTCACATTTTTGCATCTCTCTGTACATCTTGCTTAGTAACAGCCAGTTGGATTTATTATAGCTGCTTCTGCACTAAATATGGTTTTTAAAAAAGGTTTACTTATTTTCCAGAGAGAAATGAAAGTAGGGAGAAAGAGATGGGGAGAAACATCAATGTGTGGTTGGTTGCCTCTTGCACAGCCCCCCAACCAGGGACCTGGCTTGCAACCCAGGCATGTGCGCTGACTGGGAATTGAACTGGAGACCTTTCAGTTCACTGGCGGGCACTTAACCCCCTGTGCCACACCAGCCAGAGTACCAAATCTGTTTTGATGTGTGGTTTTGGTTGAAGAATATGAAGAAAATCTGGTCTTACACAGGGAGGACCTTGTGGAACCTCTGAAAGGACTGTAGAGACACCTGTGTCCTTGGCCCACACTTGAGAACTGAGGTTTTGGTATGCCCCGGACAAATGAAGCCAGTCCATACCTAACACATTTCCTAACACCAACATCACCTAAGTACACTACTACTGTTTGGCAGGAAGAACTGATCCCTCACAGGTTCTTGCTTTAACATAATAGGTATACAAATAACACTTGTTTTCTAATTGATTGCCAGGTTAAAATAATAAATTTCTATTGAATAAGACTTTAATGCTTTAGATGCAGATATTTTTCATGCTGATAAAACCATTTATTTCCCAAGAGTATCTTGGTGATTAATATCCAGTTCAATTCTCTAACATGGTTGCAGCCTTTCTCAACCAGGATACTACAAGAGAATTAGGTCTCACATTCCTAGAGCACAGACTGTATATAACAAATTTACTTCTAGAATGGTGCTAGTTATGAACCATCCTTGGGAGGACCGAGAAAACAGCCACTCAAATCAGTTTCTTGTTCTGTGGTTCAGATGAGGAATCTTGGTGGAAAAGGCTGGTGAAGAAAGAGTCACTAGTATCTGAGGACTCTAGAGGAAAAGAGCAGGGCAATTTTAATTTTCTGGGTCATACTGGGCAAGTAGGGAAGGACACATGGACATTTATGTTTAATATTCGTTTAGCAATACCTTGGCAAATATTTTTTTGGAGAATAAAAGATTACTGAAAGCCCTGGCTTGGGAACCAAGGGGGTCGGGTTGCTGGTTCGATGCCCAGTCAGGGCACTGGGGAGGAGGGGGCGTGCAAGAGGCAACCACACTTTGAGTTTCTCTCCTGCTTTTTCTCCCTCCCTTCCCCTCTCTAAAAATAAATATATCTTTAAAAAAATAAATGAGTACTGAAATAATTGTATTTGATAGATCTCAATGTAAGAAAAGTTATTTATACTGTAGAATAATCCTAAAAACTAAAATAAGAATGGGACAAAGTTTTCCTATGTTTTACCTATGTGTGAGAAATACATGTACTCTATCCATTTGAAGTGTAAACAATTATTTAAAATATGAAATAACTCTGGTAAGCCACGATTAGAAAATATTAGTTGATTCACTAACTTAAAAAACTAAATAAAGAAAATTTAAAATTCTTTTACAATCTTACAAAATATTTCTTAAAGTTTTTAATGTTTGTGTGATTAGCTAACCTTGAAGGATAATAAACAAGTAAAATAAGCATCAACTTATACATAGAGGTCTGTGCAAAGATATTGTAGTTTCTGCCTTTAGAAAGGTTTTTTTAAAGTCATACTAACAAAGTTGGAATTTAGAGGGTAAATGTATTTCATTTAAATATAAGTCAGAGGTACTTTCGCACTGGTATGACACAAGAGAAAATGTTTTCATTTCTCTTATTAGACTTGTCTCCATCTCTTCTGATGTGTTTATTTCTAGCCTCCCTTGCTAAACTTATTCTTTTATCACATTCCAGCAGTTCAACTTCCCAGCACCTCTTTCTCTTGTCCTCACTTCCCTGCTTTCCCAACTTGAGATTCCACAATCCAACACTATAGTTATCTATTTACAAACACTTTCAACTCCAGGGCCCTGAAGACATTCTGTAGTATGGTCAAGTGTCTATAATCTTTTCATTTTTCCTGCTGTTATAATATTTCTAAATGATACAAATAACTTCTAAAACACACACACAACCTATAATCCAAAAAATCTGTTTTACCAAATTCAAGTTCACAAAAAATTTTTGAAACAGATTCTTATCATAAATTTTATGTATACTTACATCTGGAAGAGAAGGAAGATTATAAGAACCTCCCACTGGTGAGCTCAAATCAATCATAGGAGAGCCAAAAGCCTTTCCATCATATCCTGCTGCACTCGTAATGGTGGGACTGGAAGGAGTAGAGGACGTGCTATTGGCAGTCGATGGCGGAGCCTGCCCACTGCTGATCTGCCACTACGGTAGAAAGAAGAAAGGCTGCTATCAGCAGTCCTGTAACAAACATAACAGGCCTACCTAATCCCTGTTCCAGACACAAAACAAAGTAGAAGACACATTCTGCTATTTGAATTCATTTGTAATTTCAATGGAAAGAGGAGAGGCCACAGGTGTACATAACTATGATTAATCCTGTCCAAAAATATAAAGCACTGGTTTTTACCAGAAGACACCAGTTAATATATGAGGTCTGTCCAGAGAAAGTCCACCCTTCGTTAATATAACAAGAATGGTTTGCAGAACACTGATGTAACCTGGCAGCCGAGGAGAATGGGCTGGAATGTGCATTTGTGAACAATGACGACTTCACAGTATGAGTCAGTGGGGGCAGTAGACTCCATTGAGTAAGAATGTTTACCATGTGGCTGTCATATTCAAAATGACTGAGTGAGCAGGGCAACGAATCTGCATCAAATTTTGCGTTAAGCTTGAATATTCCTCTGTGGAAACTATTCAGATGATTCAGAACGCTGCTGCTATGGGCAACAGGTGACTAGGCAGCTTCATTACCACAATGCATCTGCTCATGCATCACAACTCCTGCAGAGTTTTTGATGAAACATCAAGTCACCCAGGTGACTCAGCCCCTCAACTGTCCAGATTTGGCACCCTGTGACTTCTGGCTTTCCCCAAAACTAAAATCACCTTTGAAAGGGAAGAGATTTCAGACCTTTGATGACATTCAGGAAAATATGATGGGGCACTTGATGGTGATTTTCAGGGAGATAGGGATGGTGACAGGGAGGAAATGTGTGAGGTCCCAAGGTGCCTACTTTGAGGGGGAATGAGGTGTCATTGCCCTATTTACAGTATTTCTCTTATCTTCTTCAATAAATGCCTCTATTTTTCAAATCACATGGCCAGATAGCCATGTCTCACCATCTTTCTGGACAAACCTTGTACATCAGAAAATTATAGTACCAACCCTGGAAAGCTTATATATATTGGAAAAGAAATATAAACACATGTATAGCAACTTCAAGATGAAGATGGAGGGATGAAAACATTTACCTGGTAAAATAATATAGTTAAAAGGAATTCTAAGAAGGCACAGACTCATAAAGACAGAAAATATGAACAGACAGAAAACACATTTTGGAAGCTAGAGACCAGATGGACAAATAGCATATTACTTAATTTGACAAAGTTGAAACCTAAGCTGGCAGTGGGGAAAAAAGAAGCAGAACCCTTAAGAGCCTGGGAATTAGAAACATGAGAAGTGAACCTGGGGCTAAAACCAGACTGACATGTTGAGTCTGTTTAAGAAGTATTTGATCTCAACATGGAGGCGTAGGTGGAAGCACTGCACCTTCTCACACAACTAAATTTAAAAACAACAAAGTTTTGGGGAAAAAAAAAGCAGCCAAACCACAGAAAATTGAACTACATGGAAGTCTGACAACAACGAAAACTTCAGCCAAACCAGTAAGAGGGACAGAGCCAGCAGCAGAGTAGGGTCAGGCAGGAAAGATGCACTGGACAGACCTGGGTGCGCGACCCAAGTGTGCCAGCAGCTGTGAGTGGATCCCAGGTGTGGAGTAGCGGGCCGACCCACTGAGGGCTGATCTTGGACACACATTCACGCGCAGATAAACCGGTGAAGGAGCAAGCAGTGAGACCAGTGAGACAGATCGCACAGGCCTAGGAACAGGAAGTGGCAGAGGGAACCGCCATTGTCCCTCTCTGACCCCGCCCCCACATACAACATCACAAACCAGCGACCTGGGTGGCCCCTCTCTGACCATGCCCCCACATATAGCGTCACAAACCAGAGACCTGGGTGGCCCCGCCCTGGTGAACACCTAAGGCTCTGCTCCTCATACGTAACACGCACGAACAGAGCAGAACATGGCTCAAGGACAACTCAGAGCCCCAGAGCCAATAAATCTAAGCGATGAAAAAATAGCCAAACTTTCAGATGCACAGTTCAAAACATTGGTGATCAGGATGCTCACAGAACTGGTTGACTTTAGTCACAAATTAGAGGAACATATGAAGGCTAAACTAATTGAAATGAATGGAAATGCACAGGAAACCAATAGTAATGGAAAGGAAACTGGGACTCAAATCAGAGTGGACCAGAAAGAGGAAAAAAATGAGCAAACAGAAAAGGATGAAGAAACAAGAATTCAAAAAAATGAGGAGAGGCTTAGGAACCCTCAGGACATCTTTAAGCGTTCCAACATCTGAATTATAGGGGTGCCAGAAGGGGAAGAGGAACAGCCATGAGTGGAAACCTTGTTTGAACAAATAATAAAGGAGAACTTCCCCAATCTGGCAAAGGAAATAGACTTCCAGGAAATCCAGGAAGCTCAGAGAGTCCCAAAGAAGTTGGACCCAAGAAGGAACACACCAAGGCACATCATACTTACATTAGCCAAGATTAAAATGAAGGAGAGAATCCTAGAAGCAGCAAGAGATAAGGGGACAGTCACCTACAAAGGAGTTCCCATCAGACTGTCAGCTGATTTTTTAAAAGAGACCTTACAGGCAAGAAGGGGCTGAAAAGAAGTATTCCAAGTCATGAAATCAAAAGACCTACATTCAAGATTGCTCCACCCGGCCAAGCTTTCATTTAGAATGGAAGGGCAGATAAAGTGCTTCTCAGATAAGATCAAATTCAAGAAGTTCATCACCACCAAGCCCTTATTATATGAAATGTTAAAGGGACTTATCTAAGAAAAAGAAGATAAAAAAGATGAACAGTGAAAGGACAGCAAACTCACAGTTATTAAGAACCACACCTAAAACAAAAGCAAACTAAGAGGACAGCTAGATCAGGAGCAGAGCCATAGAAATGATCACATGGAGGGTTAGCAACAGGGGAGTGGGAGAAGAAGGGGGGAGAAGGTACAGAAAATAAGTAGCATAGATGGTAGGTGGAAAATAGGGGGGAGGGCAAGAATAGTATGAGAAATACAGAATCTGAAGAACTTGAGACACGTGGTCATAAACTAAAGGGGGGAATGGTGGGGGAGGGGTGTGGAGGGGAATGAAGGTGGGAAATAGAACTGTAATGGCATAATTAATAAAACATATTAAAAAAGAAAAAAAGTATTCGATCTCATGTTCTGTTCCTACTACTTTACCTGTAGCTACCTACAGGATAATAAGGACTTCCTCCCTCTACACAGGATATGACTGAAAGCCTATCCTGCAAAGCAGGTAAAAGAGTGTCTTTAGATTAAAGGGCCCCAGACTCAGTGGAGGGGAGAGGTAACGCACAGGAAATGAAGGGTCAGAAACCACACACACACTGACTGCTGAGCTTGGCGCCCACTCTGCTGAGGGCTCTCCACCCACCTTCTTCCCCCAGATGGCTTCAACCAGGAGCCAGACCATGGGAGGCACTTTAGGCAGAAGATGGAAAGATCCTTAGGGAATTGGATCAGTGTAAGAGGTAAAAGCTAAAGATGGTGAGACTAGGAATTCTCCCAATAAACACTGATAGTAGCCTTAATACAAGAGTGAAACCTAGATCTTCAAACATTAGCCCCAGACCCAAGCTTTCAGACTTTTTTTCCACTCACTTCTCATATATGAACAGGTAATTAAGCATCTACAAACATCTCAGGAAACTTTGCCATTTATGTTAGAGGCTGAGATAAATATATTGATTAAGCTAACGCTAGGAATGCTTCAGTATACAGGGATGAGCCACACTGCTGTCTATGATCTACGTCAAAACCTATAAAAAAAAAAAAAAAAGGCCTGATTGATATATGGATGAAGGGGTATATACATAGTAACTAAGAAGGCAAATAAAGCCATCTGTCCCCTACACAACTCTTTCAAAGTGTGTTGGAAATTTTTCATAATAAAATACTGGAGAAAAGAAAAGCAACTAAGAAGACTGTAAAAGCAACTGTAGAAGACTGTAAAAGCAACTAAGAAGACTGTAAGAATTATTTCAAGACTGTACAGGGGAAAAGTTCCCAAAGGCAATACCAGTTAATACATGGACTGTATTTATTATATGGAGTGATAGTATCTGAAACATCCTAATTTACACGCTCCACTAAAACAACTATGTAAAGAAATAGGAATGTCACATCTGTATTAATGTGAATGTCTTGGCCGCATTCCTGCCCAATGTGCCCCTCCTTTGGACCCACTTCCTCCCTTGCACCCTAGAATAATCAGTTATAGTTGATGTATATCCTTCCAGTTTTTTCCTATGCACATGAGATTAAAAAAAACAAACATGAAAATGAGATAATATCTCACAAAAATTTAGTATCATATTTTTTCCCATATAATATACTTGGGAGATCATACATAGATCACTGCATTTTCTTAATAGCTAAAAAGTACTCCTACAAGTATACTATAATTAGTTAAAATAAAAATTCTCCACTGTATTTTCTCCTAGTTTGTTCATTTATTCATTCATGTTTAGATTTCTAATGTAGGAGATAATCTTAGAGTGTATGCCGACCCATTACAAGTAATAAATGGGGGAGAGGAAAAGTAAACTGTGAGCACACAGAGGTGCTAGGTGTTTTAACACACATTAGCACTAAGTGTCAGTGCAACTTTACAAAGCACTTATTTTACGGCTGAAGGAAATGAGATTTCAAATAAACTTACAAGGGTGAAAAAACTATGAGGAAAATAAATGATGAAATAGAGATGGGTATGAATTTTACACACATGCAGTAGGTAAACTTTTAAAATAAAATTTTCAAATCATTCGGTTGAAATGAATATCACACATTTATGGAAACAGTATCACGGTCTTTAGTTGAGTCCTGGCGAAATAAATTGAAATCGATTCACAAGTCTTAAGCTGGAAGGACTGTTGCCACGGTTCTTGGAGAAGATAAGGCACTGAAAGAACATTTACTTTTTCAAAAATAATGTAATACCTAGAATATATTTTTAACTGAAGATGTTGGGATCTGGAAAATTGAGAACATAGCCTGACCACAGCAAAACAGGCTGATTGTAATCTGCTG